AAGATGTTATAGACACAGAGGACATCGCTCCTCTATGCATATTTAATTTTTTTGGCAGTTCTTCATCTTCATCAGATATATAAATGTATGAAGATAGTGATGATAAGCCTTTTTATTGAAGATAACAGAAATGAAAGAAAGGATGGTAATACCTAAATTTTAGTAATTTTAGACATTGTTTTGAGTTATGACAAGCAAGAACATACATCTTTTTTAGTGCGAAAAATATGTTTAGGTATTGATTAAACATTTAAGTTAGAAAGAAATTCATCGTTATAGACGCATTTGCAGCGAGTGTATATAGTTTGTCAAAGTTTATGCAAACTTTGCAAACGTATGTTAGAAACAAATGATCTAAACGTGTGCTCGCTGAACCGTTTGTATCGTTTGTGTAAGAAAGAAATGCGCTCTTAGAGAGATATTCGTTATTTTCATAAAATAATGCGGGCACGTGTCAACGATTACACAACTACTCAGCCGTGAATTATACAATCAACAAAATTGATTGGAATATCCTTATTGCTTATGACTATAATGTTATGAGAACAGTGTTTTGAATAAAATAGAATTAATTATACATGTACAACGATGTTTTTGAGTTGTTTCTGAATTGTTCCATGTTATTAATACTTTAAGGGTAGTGCGTTTTTGTGATTATGGAGAACAAAATATATGATAAATGATAGAAACAAAGAGGAAAACAGAGTCAAATTCATTTTTCAAAATTTATTTTCACATTGAAATATACTATTCATTGATTCTATAAACCCCATCAAGACCCTCACAATGTTGATTGAGCTGATGCGTTCTGTATTTTGAGGTATGAGAGATAACTAGTACTGCGTGTGAGTCCTGGAAAATAATGCGGATTGGTCTGTTGTTTCAACAGATGAATTAATCAACAACATCCTGTCATTGTTTATTGAACCTGAATGACCACCTATAGGGTATACATCGATATCCTATGACACGAGTGTAATCTATTGAATAACTTATCAAATTGCACATCACTAAGTTTAAAATTACAATTAGCAGTACAATTCAACTAATTCAACATTTTGAAGTCTGATGATAACTCGACCTATCAGAATTTAAAACAAGACACTTGATTAACGTCTCTATAGTATGCAAGAACATAAAATACCATATTGCAATTCTGACAAAAAGAAACATACTATACAAATAACAACAGCAACAAATAAAACAGATAACATAACAATTATCATAATGCATCAGTAGCAGGTAAACACTATTATAATGAGACTACAATAAATTGCTTTTTTCTTTTTAAAAACATTGAAATATAGCTGTAAATCACATGCTGATATCATGTACCATAGATTATACATCTATGCATGTACTTAGTTTTGTTTCGTTTGGTTTTCTGCTGTTTTATATATCGGAATGAAATTATTTCTAAGTACAAATATTTTTTACATACAAATAGATAGTGAAGTTAACCTCCTTTAGTGTTTCTCTATAGAATGATGATTAATTCTGTTCTCTGATAGGAAATCCGACAAGTACACTGTTTCAATTAGAAACTAGTTATTTAAGAGTATGTAAATTTATATGATTAAAAATTGAAAAACGATTTTCTTTCTCAAATCTTGTGGAGTCCCCTGGATATCTTAAACTTTCTCCTCTTTTAACAGAACATCAAAAGCATTTTCCTCGGACAATTGTATCATTCAAGTTGTTTAGTTCTTATAGAATAGCTATATATACCTTTGTAATAGCAAAAATGCGAATTTGTATAGAAAATTTTATTTTAGAAAAAAAATCAAAATCATTCGAAAAAAAAAACACCAATTTTTTATAACCCGATTAATTCACTCCTCGCCATATCGATATCTCCTACTTATGACATACCCGTCATAGAGCACAGAAACATAAAGATTGAATATGTGTCTTCATTTTTTTCTTCTTCAGTCAACGATTAGTAAGACACAAGACACAATTCAAGTTTCTTTTCCTAATTTTAAAAACAATTTTAAAGCATTCTGAATATTAATAAAGTAGATGTGAGATATTCAATGAAACAGCAATCAAGATATATTACAGATTTTCAACATTCTTCAATCATGATAAATAAAGCAGCCAAGATATTTGAGTGCACTCTTTTTTTTATTGATAATTTTTTTTGTGCTTAATTAAAGATTGTAAAGTGCCGATTTTTTTCTGCATAATACTTTTGATATGTTCGCAATTAAAAAAAAACCCTTTGCCTCAGTAATTTCAAGATTTTATAGTGTATTATTTCGCCATAAATACAAATTTTATTGTCAATTTAGCGGTATTTCTAACATTGCCTATAAGAGAGAGATTTGGCTTGCCATAAAACCAGGTTCAACCCACCATTGTTAAATTGAATTGGATTCACTGTAACTCCATTTACCGGTAAATTTCATTAATCTCTTTGACAAAAAAAAAACCACCTTTCTCCGACATGAATTTTTTACCTTTAAAAGCTAAAAAATTACCAGAGAGCAAATTACAAGGATGATTAATATTGACCATTTGGTATAGGCATATGTCCGTTTTCAAAGCGATACGTACATGCAGGACATACATTATTTTGTTGAATAAAATCAAATCTACAAATGGGTGCCGTAGGAGGACCACCAGAGTTTTGAGCAAGGATTCTTGGCATGTAACAGATCGAAAACTCGGGGTTATGATATTTCATGTATATTTTGAACACATGGAGGGTTACCCCGGCATCCTTTGCAAAAAAAAAAAAAAAAAAAAAAATTTCTTCTATGTGCCTTCGGACTTTATGTTTTAAATTGTAGTTCCACTTTCCATATTCGGTATTTATTCTGAGTCAAGTGCCTGTGCGGAGACTCCAAGCAGACAACACGCATGTGTATAACGGCATTGTAGATTTTCTTATAAAATAACGAGAGTTGCCGATCCGGTACATGAATAGATCAGTTAGAAAGCTAGGTTTTAATTTTTAAATTAATTAGATTGGAAAGCTTAATTCGAGGGTTGAAAATAGAGAGCGCAAAAAAGGGGGTTGGGGGTGTTCCACAGGGAATATTTTTATTTTATAAACGCTACATTTGAAAGGTTTATATTTTTCTATTTAATCTTTAACTAGTAATGGATGCCGTAGGAGGTCCATCGGAGTTTTGAGCAAGGATTTCTTGGCATGACAAACAATTCCAGATGTTGGTCCGAGAAGCGTGAACACACCGACCTGACCAACATAGAATTTCCGCTGACCAATGTCCTAACTGAGTGAAAGATACAAACATTTTATAAACATAAAAAGAAAACTTTAAATGTTTAACATATAAGGATTATATATTATTTTCAAAGAAAACAAATATTTGAGAAAATATTTCCAAATTTGAGAAAAAATTTCGAGATTTATTTTAGAAAAAAACATCATATAGAAAACAAAACACAAAATGCATTTACAATCTCAAAATTTTAAGGGAGAAAAAAGAAAATGCAAAAATTTACCGGTATATTTTTAGGTTCGTTCGTTCGGGTTTTTAGTGTAACCGTCGTCAATACATGAATAAAGAACCCGTGTTTTAAAAGCCTAAATGCACAAAAATGTAAACAGTTGTGTTCAATTTTAATATATCTGCTTGTTATATCATTCCTTATCGTGGAAATTGTGTTGAAACTGTTTATTCGAGTATATTTGGGTATATTGGGGTAAAAAGTCATTTTGTGATCGTAAGCGGCTGACATGAACAGAACAAGTTACGAGGGAAAAAGTGATTTAAAATTAAATATATTCATAAAATAAAGTATTAATGTCGTTAAAATAACATTTAAATGCCTAGTGTAACATTGTTATTCAATCAAATTATGTTTAAACTGCTTTTTGAGGTATATTGGGGTATGTTGGGGTATATTGGGGTAAAAAGTCACGCCGGGTCTTCAATGCAGCGAGAAACTCCCGCACCCGGAGGCGTCCTTCAGCTGGCCCCTAAACAAATATGTATACTAGTTCAGTGATAATGGACGTCATACTAAACTCCAAATTACACACAAGAAACTAAAATTAAAAATGATACAAGACTAACAAAGGCCAGAGGCTCCTGACTTGGGACAGGCGCAAAAATGCGGCGGGGTTAAACATGTTTTTTGAGATCTCAACCCTCCCCCTATACCTCTAGGTGTTCGTTTTTTGTTGTTTTAGAAGGTCATATTTGTTTTAGGTATCTGCATAGTCTCATATCTTGGCCTAGAAAGATACGGCAAACCTAATATATGGCACATCAAAGTAGTTACTCTGAACTTCACTAACTCAATATAAATGGAATAAAAATCTACAGCAAAGGGTAGGATTTCTGCAACTTTTGGATGGAATGTAAACATGGACAAATTAATGTCGATAACTGCTGGCTAAAAAATGTAAATATTATGGAGTTTTATGGTAATATATGTACATGTATGTTCCAAATTTGAAAACGTGAAACAAAAAACAAAAAAACGAAAAAAGGAAAAAGAAAAACGATACTATTTATTCATTACTAGTATTCCCATACAAATATATGAGTTTTCCAGCGAATAAAAATGTGACCTAAACCCTCCCCCTATACCTCTAGGTGTTCGTTTTTTGTTGTTTTAGAAGGTCATATTTGTTTTAGGTATCTGCATAGTCTCATATCTTGGCCTAGAAAGATACGGCAAACCTAATATATGGCACATCAAAGTAGTTACTCTGAACTTCACTAACTCAATATAAATGGAATAAAAATCTACAGCAAGGGTAGGATTTCTGCAACTTTTGGATGGAATGTAAACATGGACAAATTAACGTCGATAACTGCTGGCTAAAAAATGTAAATATTATGGAGTTTTATGGTAATATATGTACATGTATGTTCCAAATTTGAAAACGTGAAACAAAAAACAAAAAAACGAAAAAAGGAAAAAGAAAAACGATACTATTTATTCATTACTAGTATTCCCATACAAATATATGAGTTTTCCAGCGAATAAAAATGTGACATAAAAGGTTGACATTTATTCCACGACGAAAGAATCCACCATCATTTCGGCATCACGGGGCTAAACCCTTGTTACAACTTCCTGTGTATGTCAATGCTATAAGTAATCCTACAAGAAATACATATACTTATATGTTAATAATTATTTTATTTAGTGAAGCAGAATTTTTTCTTCCTTTTTATATAAACTTCGTTCCGAACAAAAAATATAAGTCCATTGTAAGCTTACTTACATTCAGTGACAATTTGTATAAGTATTCAGAAAAGGCAATTTAATTTAATTTCATACATGTGTACAACACTGTTCTCTGTGTTCTATCAATGAGCACAAATTAGAATGTTAAAGAAACCTCGTGGGATTTCAAAATCAAAGTGCTTCTATCAATGAGCACAAATTATAATGTTAATGAAACCTCGTGGGATTTCAAAATTAAAGAAGCACTTAATAGAGTTTTCATCATTTTTAAAGTCAAAATGTTTAAACGTTATGCGCTATCCTTCTGAAGTAAATTTTGACAGGAATAATGCTTTGCGGGACATCACTCTGACTCATAATCAATTTTATCGGAAATTATGATTAAATGTTAAAATTTGACAGTCATAATAATGTAGGTATAGTTAAAAGCTTTGATGCTGGTAAACAATATATTGCTGAAAAATACTTATTGCAAGGAATTGGTTCTTATAATGTATTTAATTTTCCCAAAACAGTTTAGTTTGCTAGCCTACCATTTTCATAAAATAGATATTGACTGCTCCAGTTCTCTCATTGACTGTTTTCCTTTTGTTATCATCATTTTTATAGCATCCTAAAACAAAAAAAATGTTTGCTATTTTCATTTAAATGATAGTTTGAAACTTTTCACAGGTTATGCAACTTAAATTACTCAAAAAGAGGCTGTGGGTACCAAGGGACATTCAAAACTCTTAGTCTAAGAGATACCGATAAAATCACAACACAAAAAGTTTAAAAATTCACACCAAGCTGTAATGCAAACTACTTTATATCTCGATCATGGTAAATGGTGACATCAATCGAAAATAATGGCATAATGCAAAACTTCCGACAGACACCCATATTCGATAGAAGTTAATTTTTATTACCTTGAAATTAAAAACAAAACGAACTTACATGTATCAATATCGGTGCTATGCCTTTTGGGAGAAGTAACCTTAATCAGGTGTGTGAGGATTGGATACAGATTAGAGAATAATAGGCAAAAAATAATGAAGATAGGGAATAAAGGGAACAAAAATAAAGACTAGAGAAAAATAGGCAAAAAAGACTTGGTGTACGTATAACTGACAGCATTGTAATGAAGGATTAAAGCCTAACTAGAAGACTTGGTGTACTTATAACTGACTGTATAACGATCAAAGATTAAGTCCTATCACTATCACCGGGATACGGAAGACAGAATCTAAATCCTACCTCATCCTCTAGATGTTTGTTGGCAGTAAAATCATGTCTAATCCATTCCATCAATTCCTTCTGTTGACTTTTATCTGGAATTCTCCGAACAACTCTCAACATACTTCTATACAATTTTAAAACTTCTGACCTCAGCATAAACTAGAATATATCATTGAAACATTAAATTGTTTGTTGCTTTGTTCATTTATAAATAAAGAAGTTTTACACATAAATTGCCATGCCATGCAACGTATTATTTATCAGTGTATACAGGAACATATATATTCTGTTCCCAGGTGTATACTAGAATCTTCGAAGTATCAATTACTACACATTCATCAAAATACCATGCATTTTTTTTAATAACAAATATTAAAAAAAAATATATATTTGTGTTTTAAGTTTTCCTACCCACTGTTTTCCTTTATGCTTAAAAATGGCTGACCTAATTAAAGTTTGTACTGGCACTTTTAGTAGTAAATGACGACCTGTCACGTTCTGAGCCTATTTTTCAATCTATCAAAGACGATAGTAATTACCTCCTGAACGGCAAAGGTGAAAATCGTTAAATTCAAATTGGACCACCATTTTGTCATCAGGTAACAACAAATTTAAATTTGGAAAGCATATATTTGTTGAATGGTTCTTAGGTTACTACCACAGGCACTTGTTTCTATCCATGGGAAGGTAGACCTCTACTACATATGGTTAGTCGACCTTCCCATGGATAGAAACAGGTGCCTGTGCTGTTGACAGCCAACCCGCGAGCGCCCGCCGTACCTCACCATTTTAATAATAGGATTTTTCGTTCGGAAACACACGGTTAAAACACCAAAAAGGCGCTTATGGTACAGGCTTTGGATATTTTTTTTTCATGGTTTGCACTGAATATTAAATTTTCTATTCTCATAGCACATATTTAACACTTCTATATAAGAGGACGACCATTTGATATTCAAGGGGGAAGGGTTTTTTTTCGGATTGATAATTCATTTCATCTGTTTCTACGCATGCCATGCTAATTCTTTATACGGCTTTGCTGCACGAAAATTTATTAATTTTGTAAGCTCTTGTACACATTAATTTGTATCCTCAACTATCCTGAATATTTTATGTTGCAGAATACTTTTCATTCTGTCTTGTGCAAAGTCATTTATTTTCAAAATCCTGCCGCTTGTTAATTGCAGGATTAAAACAACAAATGTGCATTGTTGGAAACTATAAAATTTATGTGTATGAGCTTTAGAAACCGGACGAAAAGAGAGGCTCGCATAACACATAAATTTTATATAAATGTACATTTGTTGTTTTTATCCAGCAATTTACAAGCGGCACTTTAAGGTTTAGTTGTTTAAATCCAAATAGTTATTTCTGATTTCTCAAAGAAATCGACATACATGTACTAAGTTTAACATGTTTTTAAAAACGCGGACCGCGAAGAGGACCCCAACATGAACTGTCACACAAAAAGAATTCGTTTGCTCAATACGGAGTCACAGGAGACTTTAATTGTACAAGTACAAGTAAAGCAGAAAAATTATTTGTGTACCTAGGGGCTATTTGTACAATAGTTGGCTGATTGCAGGATAAAGTAAAAGGTTCCTAAAAATAAGTAATTTTTCTTAAGTGTACCCTGCCGGGGAATAGTATATACATTGTGATAAATCCTACATACCTTTTTTCAAAAGGAGAATATTTGCCACTGGACGTAAAGTAACAATAATCAATCAATCTATCTAAAAAAAAACACATATTTATTTCTATGGCCTTAACAACATTTGAACAACATCTAAGCTAAAACACCAAGAATTAGCTCCCTTGGAGACTATTTCTCACCTTACGTCTACCGTCCAGTCATTGTTTTCACACGATAAAATAGTGCACACTTATCGAAAAACAATAACATTACACCCATTAACATACTATACCTTTGATAAAGACATCATATGAGGTACTTTTGAGGCCATTTTAATTTGAATCCACTGGCCATGAAATGTTTGTTAAATCGTTGTAAGATGGGAGATAACTCGATTTATTTTTATGGCAAATCAAGTCAACGAAAACCATTGATTCAAGTGGTTTTCAAAAAAGAGAAAAAATATGTTGTCTGTTATCCGATGAAGAAAAAGAAAAATAAATGTTTACTCTAAACAATATTGTGGTATTAAAAAGATCTTTATGGTTTTTATTGGTCATAAATGTATACGCTTGTAAATTGGAAAAGAGGAGGGGGATGGGGGTCGGGTATTGCCGTGTTTCAAAAATAAATTGAAATGCATTTATAATTACATATATAATTATTCCCGTTATCCATTTTTTTCTTCCTTTTTTTTTTGCAAAAAGTTAACGAACTATCGAATAGCTTTTTCATCTGCGTAAAACTTCTACAAAATTTATTGGCAGTGGCTATAGTTTGCCGGCTCCGGCCTCTTAGGTGATATTTTACCCGCCCTGGCAAAAAAGCCTCCTTAGCGCTATTTTGCCGGAGCCGACAAAATAGAAATTTATATAGAGTTTTACTATTTTGCCGATCTTAAATTAGATTTTTCATCATATTAATAGAATAATAGAAAGAAATGTTGTGACATACATTTAAACATGTTAACTAATAAGAAATCTCTAAAAAGATATATCTTCTTTTAAAAATGTTTACACAGGCAAAGCATGCATACTAAAATTGATTTTCTAATACAAAATATCCCATAAGTTTTGAAAAAAGTAAATTAATCTCAACATCTTCAAAATGCTTTACAAGTGTTAAAAAAACATGCAGTGCCTTGCTTTTTGTGCATTGTTTAGTCTTGCACAAGAAAAATGCTGTAAATGCAGACATGAACTACACATAACCATGATAACGTTTGTTGGATAGATTTTTTTTTAAATACAACAAATGTAGTTTGTTCATGATTGGTTGTTTAGCGAGAATAACGCAATAAGTTTTATTTGTTATTTCAGGTTTGTAATATTATGCATTACATTAGAACGCACTTGTTAGTGCAAAGTGTATACCAAGTTTGATTTAAATTGATTAAAAGATGTTGAATGACGGACAATTTCGCAAGTTTTGACAATGTTAGTTTCTGTGCTGCTTATCAACTCAAACGAGTGCCGCCATTCGTAAATGTATATAGTTTTAAGATAAAAACGGAGATACATGTACATGTATTGATGAAACATTTTGGTTAACCAGTGGATGGCGATTTGTGGTCTTTGTGCCATGAACACAGCAGTACTTTATTGCACCATAGCCTAGATCGTTATTAAAGGTTTTGTTTGGTGCTCTATTTTTCATAAATTTTATAGTCCTTGAACCACGTTTCCACAGTTGCACATATTTGTACTTTTCAAAGAGCCCCAAGACCTGTTTAATCTCTTCGTATGAGTCGAACATAGCATTTGTTTCAAGTTTTTTTTTTTTTTACAACGAAGTGAAGTCATCCATTTTCGAACGTCAAAGAAGAATTTATTTCATTTGGTCTGGAAAAAAAATCGGCAATAAGATCGGCAAATAGCAAAACTCTATCATGTCTATGTAAAACGCCATTTCACCGGAGCCGGCAAAATAACACTAAGGAGGCTATTTTGTCGGAGCTGATAAAATAGCACATAACAGGCTATTTTTGCCGGAGCCGGTAAAATAGCAACTTCCAAATTTATTTGCACAAACCAGCTAGAGGCATATATATTTACAAGTTGTATTATATATGTCTATGCACAAAATCTTTTTTTTCTGAGATTACAAACAGTAAAATTGGCAATTATAAACTTGTGTATATAGTGACAGTGAATATCATTAAAACATTTCAACTACAAACACACGTGTACTCTTGTATAATTATAATAATTGTAATAATCTTATTAAGAACGGTCTATTCGCATCTCAGGTTCGCATGATTTGAACATGAATACACATAATTTTAATTCAATCATATTTTCTTAATAAAAGTCAATTATCTATATGTACATTGCCATGGTTTTATTTTATATAAAGAAAACCATTATTTTGAGAGAAAAAAATAATTATATATATAGTATCTTTAAAATGGCAAAAGTCTAAAAAACGTTGCAAGGGAGATAAATCTATTTCATATCTAACATGTCTAACCCAGGATAAATGTTTGTACATCTTGTAATAGCATCGTATTACAGGACCAATCTGTTGATACACAACTTACGTAGAGTGGTGATATCTGGTAAGGTTTAACCTTAATTTTGTACATATAGAAAAATTCAAATTTGTGTATTCTACTATTGATTGGTTTATGTTTATTTAGAACTTTGATGTCATTTTTATATCATATTCTACTTCCTGCTTAGTTAAATCATTTTTGTAAAATAATTTTAATAATATCAAACGTATGTTTACCTTGAACGGTGAAATGTTGATGACTGTACATTGTCTTGTCTCGCTTTGACAGAGTCAAAAAGAGAGACTAATGAATACTGTTTCTAGAGGTGGCGTTAACCATTTGTTAAAGTTTATGATTAGGACAGTTTAAGGGAAACACTAAATGATAAATCAATGATATGTTTGGTATGCAGTTGTATAAGCATTGGCAAATCTCATTTTCATGGAGATTATTAGACCTCGCCCCTCTCAGTCATGGTCTATAGACTTTGAATTTCGCATAGTTTATATTATAATAATGAAAGTTTGTGATCATATAGGTCAGTCTCTGGGGAGCCACTTATCAGGCTTATGATAAGTCAAAGATATGTGGTATACAAATGATACTGTAACAGCTGTATTTAACTAGAGACATATACTAGTATTATGTTTCTGATTTAAAAGTTTAATATAAGCACATCTCATTTCCTTGGAAATTATTTTGGCGCTTCACCTCAATCATGGTCTGTTGACTTAGAAACTTTTATCACGAAAGTTTAACGGTCACAGTTTGTAATTAGGTCAGTCAATTACCTAGTCGAGCACATATCCCTTAATGAAAACAAACCCTAACTTAACCCAAGCTTTAACTAACTCTGAACCCTCACTAGAAAGTACGGGGGTACCTGGTTTTTTTTTATCGTGTCAGAATACATATTCGAGAAAACGAATGCTCATGCAGTCTTTTCATCCAGGTCTTTCTCGGAGAATTCTAGCGAGCTTGATCAGTTGTCACTGGACGCCGTTACTCCATCAACAAGCAATCAAAAAGTAGATCTTTTTCCTGTTGCTGGGAAAGGAAGAATGCCTTTACGATTGTTTAAAATTTTGTTTTCCTTTTTCATGTTTTTATCAAAACTCATATGAAATTGTCGTAGGCAACAGGATTTACATCGAACACGATTTTGCATCTATCCCGCTACAATATTCGGTGATGAAACATTATTCGATAACATAAACGCTCTCGGATCTATACTCTTCATTGAAAATTTGACGACTCTAGATTTAATTACTCGCCATTATTAAATTCTGAATAGCACAGTTATTTTTCATTAGTCAGTCTTTAACCTTTGACAAGCGTCATCGCTCATTACTTTAACAAAACACATATAGCCACGCCTTAATCATTTACACATTGCATGTGCATATTCGTAAATAGCGTGCTATAAACATAACATAACATAACATGTTAACAGAAAATATCAAACAGGGTACATGTATATGTATCAATGTCAGCATTGGTCAGAATTGATTTACAATTCTTTCCAATTAACTATTGAATTTCTATTTATCAGAAAATAGTATTATATGGCATGGAACATATTTACGGTATATTGAAGGCTCTGTGTAATTTAGATACGTGTCTTGCTTATACCGGTCGCTTATTAAGTGTATAAAGTGATGTTAGAGAATTTGTGACAATCCGTAAATGATGGTAGTTTGCGAATAAAGTATCATTGATACTCACAAATAATTGTGATAAGTAGATTCATATAAATACATGCTTTTTCCGTATCTGCCATATGTTTATTTTCCCTATATTGACATCTGCTCTCTGGCTAGAACCCTCTGGAAGATATGATGGTCTTGGGATAATAACAGGAGGGATGTGAAAAAAACTGCGTTTTGTATTTGCGCCATTCAGCATTTCATGTGCGCCAAAAAAAACTGTTTCATTTGCGCCAACTTGAAGTAAACATAAGTCACGATACACACACGTTATATAGAATTTATTGAGCTGATTACAGAAAATACCCCCTCCGTCTACCATTCTGCTGATCACTACGGGGAGGTGTAACTGGGATTAAGAGCAACATAGATTTATTTTACAAGTTTATAAAATTATTCAGATCACACATTAACTAGCAATTTTTCTATAAAATATAAGAACAGATCTCGACTTTGACGTCATATATAGAAATAAGAAGATGTGGTATGAGTGCCAATGAGACAACTCTCCATCCAAGTCACAATCTGTAAAAAGGAAACAATTATAGGTCAAAGTACGACCTTCAACACGGAGACTTGGCTCACACCGAACAGCAAGCTATAAATGGCCCCAAAATAACTAGTGTAAATAAATTCAATCAGGAAAACCAACGGTCTAATCTATATAAAAAACGAGAAACGAGAAAGCTTATGAACTACATCAACAAACGACAACCACTGACCAACAGGTTCCGGACTTAGGACGGATGCAAACACATGCAGTGGTTTTTAACGGCGCCAACATTCATTCTAACCTGAAATAGTAGATAACCTTGGAAAAAATGGCGTTAAATAAAATAATGCACATTTACGTATTTTCCAGTCTGTCCTGTCGGAGTGTATCAATTATAACAGCGATGCATTGTCGTATCCGCCTGGTGTGAATCAAATGATTAGGGTCGGTTGTAAGGGGTGTGTAGTCTACAATTGTAAAATACTGCGACCGTAAAATAACATTTCTACTGTTTACCGGGTTATCAAGAACAAGTAAGTAATTTAAAAGATAATTATTTGAATTGGGTCTGATCTTATACTGTTCAAAATAGAATATCATCAATGAAAATTTATTTGTTTGCTCAAATGAAAATTTTGCTTTGGCGCAATTGAAAATTAGCGATAATGTCATACGCCCGGAGAACTTTAATTATTTGATTGTATATTTTAAAAAGATAAAAACCAGCCATGGTTACCATTCAATCTCATTACCAAACATTACACTGATTAGTTTTCTGAGTTGTTTAATTCTGATTTCTACAACTATAAAATAAAATTGCTAAGATTTGTAAAATTGTATTATCAGTTAAGTAGTATGTCCATTTCCATTTGGCTGTCTACCTTGACACATATTACTTCTAGTATACATACATGTCAAAAGACTTAGTATGTTCGAGTAACTAGCTAGTATAAGCATAAGTCTAAGACATTTTTGCATTTGTCCTCAACATTTCATTTCATTAGGGAAGGTATGTGGAAGAGAAGATGTCACAATGTAGGGGGATCTGGATGGGGTGAACATAATAGAGAATAACGGTAAAAACATATTTAATAATCAAAATTAATCATTTTCATGAGAGATTTACAGATTAAGCGTTATTTTTTATAAAAGATAAATAAAAATGCCCTAAGATCTAAGAATACAGCAACAAAGGACCCCATCCAGATCCTCTTTTAGTGACCTATGTTTTTATCCGCTATTTAGGGTTATTGTTGTTGCATTATTAACTCGAAAAATGTAGCGTAAAGATAGAAGTAGAAGTAGAACACCCCTCAGCCCAAATAGGGTCTTCCATATTATATATTATCAACGCTACTTGTTGCTCACTGTTGATCAAATGTTTTTAAAAAAGTCAAATTCATTTAACATGTTTTAATATGAAAGTAATCATCAGGTGTGTTTATTTGCTATTAATTCTGTTTTGTTAATAATCTGAGTAGATCAATAATGAACTTAGCCACCAATAGATTACCTGTGGATAGACTATTTAATTCAAGTCAGGGTATACTTGTTGATAGACTATTCCATTCAAGTCAGGGTATACTTGTTGATAGACTATTCCATTCAAGTCAGGATATACTTGTTGATAGACTAATCCATTCAAGTCAGGGTATACTTGTTGATAGACTATTCCATTCAAGTCAGAGGTATACTTGTTGATAGACTATTCCATTCAAGTCAGAGGTATACTTGTTGATAGACTATTCCATTCAAGTAAGAGGTATACTTGTTGATAGACTATTCCATTCAAGTCAGAGGTATACTTGTTGATAGACTATTCCATTCAAGTCAGAGGTATACTTGTTGATAGACTATTCCAATCAAGTAACAGGTATACTTGTTGATAGACTATTCCATTCAAGTCAGGGGAATACTTGTTGATAGACTATTCCAATCAAGTAAGAGGTATACTTGATGATAGACTATTCCATTCAAGTCAGGGGAATACTTGTTGATAGACTATTCCAATCAAGTAAGAGGTATACTTGTTGATAGACTATTCCATTCAAGTCAGGGGAATACTTGTTGATAGACTATTCCATTCAAGTAAGAGGTATACTTGTTGATAGACTATTCCATTCAAATCAAGGGAATACTTGTTGATAGACTATTCCATTCAAGTCAGGGGAATACTTGTTGATAGACTATTCCATTCAAGTCAGAGGTATACTTGTTGTTAGACTATTCCATTCAAGTCAGGGGAATACTTGTTGATAGACTATTCCAATCAAGTAAGAGGTATACTTGTTGATAGACTATTCCATTCAAGTCAGGGGACTACTTGTAGATAGACTATTCCATTCAAGTCAGGGGAATATTTGTTGATAGACTATTCCATTCAAGTCAGGGGAATATTTGTTGATAGACTATTCCATTCAAGTCAGAGGTATACTTGTTGATAGACTATTCCATTCAAGTCAGGGGAATACTTGTTGATAGACTATTCCAATCAAGTAAGAGGTATACTTGTTGATAGACTATTCCATTCAAGTCAGGGGACTACTTGTAGATAGACTATTCCATTCAAGTCAGGGGAATATTTGTTGATAGACTATTCCATTCAAGTCAGGGGAATATTTGTTGATAGACTATTCCATTCAAGTCAGAGGTATACTTGTTGATAGACTATTCCATTCAAGTCAGGGGAATACTTGTTGATAGACTATTCCAATCAAGTAAGAGGTATACTTGTTGATAGACTATTCCATTCAAGTCAGGGGACTACTTGTAGATAGACTATTCCATTCAAGTCAGGGGAATACTTGTTGATAGACTATTCCATTCAAGTCAGAGGTATACTTGTTGATAGACTATTCCATTCAAGTCAGGGGAATACTTGTTGATAGACTATTCCATTCAAGTCAGAGGTATACTTGTTGATAGACTATTCCATTCAAGTCAGAGGTATACTTGTTGATAGAGTATTCAATTCAAGTCAAGGGTTAAAATCTGTTTAAACTTCGTGTAATAATCAAAAGACAGTGTCCAGAGCAAAATTTAGAAGAAAAAAATTGCATTTGGTTGTTTTTTCACTGTTAACTTTTAGTTATTTTGGCTATTTTTTAAAGTTAAAAACTATATTCAGATTGAATCAAATAGGGAATACATGTGCAGTTGAATTATTTTTGAGAAAGAATACTTATATCAATGGAAGCAATGGCCATCATATCCCTCAGAGCGATCAAGCTCTTTAAATATTAGTTTTTATTGGCTTTGAACTAGCCATCAGTAACTTTTCGTACTCTCAGATCTGTACTTTGTGTCTGTTTTGTTGTGAGCGATGTATAAAAACCCTGCCACGTCCAATCTGCGTTTTTGTTAGATTTTTTTTGCTTTTTATCGATCCGATGAGTTGAGCCCTTTCCAACTGATTTTTATAGTTAGTTCTTATGTTGTACTGTTACACCACTGTCCCAGGTAAGGGGGAAGGGGGGGGGGGGGGTTGGTGCTTTTAAACATGGTTAACCCCGCCACATTCTATATGTGCCTGTCCCAAGTCAGGAGGCTGTACATGAGTGGTTGTCGTTTATTTGCCGTTTCTCATATTTGTTTTTTGTTTTTTATTTATAGTTTGTTGTTGTGTTATTCCGTTATACCACTGTCTTAGGTTAGGGGAGGGTTGGTGCCCTCAAACATGTTTAACCCACCACATTCTGTATGTGCCCGTTCCAAGTCAGGAGCCTGTAGTTCGGTGGTTTTCGTTGGTTCATGTCTGTCATATTTGTTTTTCGTAAACTGTTTTGTTATGATTAGGCCGTTAGTTTTCTCAATTGAACTGTTTCATATTTTTCATGTCGTGGCCTTTTAAAACCGACTTTACGGTATGGATTTTTCTCATTGTTGATACCGTACGGTTGCCTATAGTTGCTTACATCCACTTCATTTGAATTTTGGTTGATAGTTGTCGCATTGGCAATCATATCACATCTCCTTATTTTTATCTTTATTTCATGGACGTGGAAATAGTAAAATTCACAAAATCTACTAGCGTAGATGTGTATGTTAATTGATTATTGTTTGTCATATGTTCAGTGAACTATATTGCATACATATTTAGTGTGAGGAAAACATTCGCAATTAATCCAAGTTTTGCAATGAGAAGGGTGGGGATTCAGATGCAAAGATAGCTAGGTAGGTTGAACATGGTAATGTTTTGGTACAAATGTATCTATGCAAGTGCTTGAGTAAGAAACATGTTCAAACAACAATGCATAAGACTAATGAATAGGTTAAAATTGAATCTATTCATGGATCTGTCATCTCTTTTTAGATATGGCATCTGGCACAACTACAGACGTCAACTGTGGACCATGCTTATATAACAATATAACAGTGCCTGGTAATGTCTGGTGTTTATCGTGCGAGGAGGGCCTATGTCAGTCGTGTGCTGACAGTCATCAGGGTATCAAGGCTACCAGAAACCACAAAGTAATTCCGGTAGAAAAATGTCACCACGTGGCTTCCATCGGACATTTGATGTCACAAACCTGTAAAAACCACAACAAAGCTCTTGATCTTTATTGTCCTTCCCATGATGCTCCTGTATGCTCTTTATGTATATCAGAGAACCACAGAGAATGCAAGGACATTGTATCATTGGATGATGTCGCTAAAAATGTTGTTTCATCTTCTTCGTTTTGTAATCTAGAACAAAATGTCGGAAATCTTTTCAAAAACTTATCCCAGTTAAAGGCAGAACGGGAACGGAATTCCAAACAGCTTCAAAGTGATAAAATAGCGAAAAATACATCAGTCAAGGAAATGAGGAGAAAACTTAATGAACTCTTAGATACATTAGAAGAAAAACTTTTGCAAGAGTTATCTTCCAAAACTGGAACCTGTGAAACGGAAATCAATAATTCTTTATTCGAAATAGAATTGAAAACTAAAGCAGTATACGCTATACAATCCAACATCTCCCAGCTGAAAGAAATGGCTACAGATGTACAATTTTTTCTTGCAATTAGAGAAATTGATAAGTCAGTAACCACAGAGACTAACTGGCTGCATGCAATCGCGAATCAACGCAACATGGAAGAATTGACCTTGGACCTAAAAACTAAACCAATGGAAGACTTGCTTGAAACAAAATCACTAGGTTCAGTTAAGATAGACCGCAGCCGAAATACTGTTCCAATAAACCATCTGGGTATGAAAGAGGCACAGATACCACTTGAAGCAATGCGTAATAAAATAGACCGAATTAGGTTACAGCAGAAGATATACATTCCATTGCCAATTACTAACATGTTAGTTGAAAATCTGTTTGGATGTATGATATGCAGTGATGGAAACATTATCTTTGCAGATGGTCCAAGTAGGACAATTAAAGTTTTCAATAAAAAAGGAAATCATATAAAAGACGTTCGTGTACCTGGCACACCAAGTGACATAACAGAGATATCACAAGGTCGGATTGCTGTCACATACTGAATTGGAGAAAAATATGAGATAGCAGGTATAAAAAATTACCTTTATAAAACTGTTAAATCAGTTAGTACAAGAAGTACATGCTGGGGAATATCCTGTAATGATGGAAAGGTGGCAGTGAAGTGTTCAAATGAAGGTATTGAACTATATGACATAAATGGAAAGAAAATGCAGGATGTTAATGATGACGAGAAAAGTTATCGATTGATTTATAATATTGAAATATCTAATAGACACATTTATTATTCTTACTCTTACCAAAATTCTGTGAGTTGTCTTGGTTTTGATGGAATCCTAAAATGGAAATATGAGAGTAATTCCCTGCAGCATCCAACAGGGATAACAACAGATGGTTATGGTAATGTCTACGTAGTCGGACGAGATTCCAAAAATCTAATCGTCATTTCAAAAGACGGACAAAATGGAAGAGAACTATTCAAGTGCAAAGTTACACCTTGGTCGGTACACTTTGAAAAACATAATAACCAGCTTTTAGTGAGAGATTATGAAGGAGCTACAGTATACGACGTCGTTTTTGGACAATAGACTTGTAGGCCAGTATAGATCGATACATTTCGTCAATTTGTGCACGTGGAACGCGTTTTACAAACCGCCACAAGCTAGGCCGTTTGTATATAGTGAATTACTTTATGATTCTGTATAAAAACGCAAAATATATTACTGATGTGAAAGTGCTAATATTATGAAAAATGCTCATTATTTCGTTTAAACGCACTTTTTCTGCTTTTTCTGACATGGTTTTATTGGTAACCCAATGGGATATGCAATTTCTTCAGTGCCAAGTTATTCTGCAGACACCAGAGTTCACCCCTATTTTTGTTAAAAAGAGGTGTTTTTTTTATGTCTTGCTTATTTTGTAATATTATTTCTTGTCCATTAAATCTTTTGTACCAAATATTGTTTGTTATATCGATCTTGTACACTCGGTCAAGGGTACATAGAAATTACTTATAGAACCATTTAATGATTTTAGTCGTGTCTAAATAAGGGCTAGATATGAAACATTTACCAACCGTCTTTTTATCACGCCTAATTACAGGATGATGACCAACAGTTGTTTTACGAAAAGAGTTACACAATTGGTAAAACTCGATGAATAATTGGGAAGTGTTGATCATTCTGGAACATATTAATACAACTCTGTTTTTTGGGGGCTCATGTTTCTCATTTTTTTTCAGGAAACATTGTTTATCTGTTCGTGTCTTTTTCTTTTGGCCATTAAATTGTCCGTATTTCTTTTAACTTACGGGTGCCACATGTGTAACAAGATTTGTCTACCCTTCGGGAGCACCCGAGATTGCCCCAATTTTTTGGTGGGGTTCGTGTTGCTCAGTCTTTGGTTTTCTATGTTGTGTTTTGTGAATCGTTGTTTGTCTTGGTATTTTTTTTCCGCTTTTTTCCATGGCGGTGTCAGTTTTTCTTCTACTTGTGAGTATTAGTGTACCTAGCTTAGGTGTCTTTCGCCTCTCTTTTGCATGAGTTTTTCATTGCCACCTTGGTATATGTTTTACTCCTTTTAAAGATTAAAGATGTTTCATATTTATCAATTTATGTTAACAAAAAAAACCAAAAAAAAAACCTGCCGGTGTATGTGGAACACATGACACTTAAAAACTAACGATCGATCTCTGTTTTTTTGTGACTATGTTGCATAGTTGCAGTCGAGTCACTTTGGAGACACCTCTACTGGAAAATCCTTCAAATTGTGGGAAAATTGATGTTCAATGAGGACTAAAGTTTACGTTGAGTTTAAAATGGACGATAGCTAAATTCGTATAGTTTGGAAGGTCATATCTTTCGACAAACATCACAATTGGAGATTAAAACATATATGACAATATCATCTATCGTAATGATATGAGACTTAGTTTTAGACAACATAAATTTAAATTTTAAGATTCTTATCTCCGTTTGTCCTGATTTATTTATTTCATGTATTTCCTATACAAGAGCATCTTCGCTAGCCAAGAGTTACGATTTAGTCCTCTCCTCTTCACATCTTAGCTGACGAAGGGTTACGATCCGACCCCGTCCTCTTCACCTATAATAGATTAAGACAAAATTGTGTATACATCGGTGTGTAATCTAGCAATATGTAGAAGTCACGCCCACTCCCACTTCATCATAATTGATTAAAGACAACAGTTGTACTATCTTTATTTTGGACGTGTAAAAATGGCTGTGTCCAGTGTTTACAAATGTTGTGAATCAGAAAGCGTATATATACGTTGGCATTCCAACATTTGCACGAGGAACATACCCAAGAAGTTCAATTAGTTGAGTATGAACTTTAAATGTTTAATGTTTGGCTCCCTTATTCATGTTATTCCAGATTGGGTTTTCGTAGAATTGATCACGAATGCTCAATGTTGCCTCTAGTTTACACATCTTTCTCTAGTTGGAGTTATATTATAAAGGAATTTGTTTTGTTTCGTATACTATATGAACACAAATGTTGAAATAATTCATGATCATGAGCTGTTTAGAGTGCATAGAATTCTACGAGCACAAATGGATACACAAAATAACAATTATGTACTCATGTATACGATAAGTAAAGATCAATGTTATTTCCAATAGTAATAGATACCTCGTATTTGGTAAAATTGGTATAAAAACATTTATAATATAGTCAATACAAAAGAAAACATCTCAATCATGGAAGATAACATGATTTATATTCACGTGATTCGCACATGACTACGCACACTTAAAATGCAAACATATTTTCTCACTAAAAAGCTAATCATTCATATATATATACATGAATAATTTATTGCGGTAATTTTTTAGCCTACATAAAGATAAACAATTCTTGTTGAAAAAAAATTAATACACTATTAAAAGAACAGTCAGACAAAAGCATCTTAAATTTTACAGTGGATATAAATCTAGTGCAGATATGTCATACCTATAAAAAGAAAAACAACAAAATTACCGAACTCCAAGGAAAATTCAAAACGGAAAGTCCCTTAACAATTGGTAAAATCAAAAGCTCAAACACATCAAACGAATAGAAAACAACTGACGTATTCCTGACTTGGTACAGGCATCTTATGTAGACAATGGTGGATTAAAACTGGTTTTACAGCTAGCTAAACCTCTCACTTGTATGACAGTGTCAATTATTGAAACAGAAATAGTGTCTGGTGATGTGGTAAGGTTTAACTATAATGTTTTTATACATGTATATTGAAATGGGATATTTGTATGTTCTTTTATCATGTTTATTGAATGTCTCATTATAATTTAGAACTGCTCTACACTTTGTAGGCATCTAGTAAATTTTATGTCTACTTCCTGCATAGTTTATCGGTTTTGTTAAATTATTTAATATCAAATATGCTTACCTTGAATAGTGATCTGCTGAAAGTTGTAGATGGGTAAACCCTTTTTGTATACTAAGGTATGACATTCATCATGTCTATTTGATTGATTGATTGGTGTTTAACGCCACTTTCAACACTATTGTGCTATTTTGTGGCGGTAATTTATTATGGGTGGAGGAAGCCCGGGTGCCCGGAATGAACCACCGACTTTCGGTAGGAAAATCCGAATCAATTAAGATTGGAGTCGAGTGCGCCTGCCTCGTGCGGGATTCTAACTCACGACCTCGGAGTTGACTGGCTAGTGGTACAGTTGTCGACTAGTTAGACCACTCGGCCACCGAGGCCCCCTGATCTCTATTTGATAAATATTTTCCCGACAAATAGAGAGAGATGAATCGTAGTATTTTGAGAAAATGTCAGTCTAAGTTTGTCTATTGAGTGATATGTAATTAACTTACATAATGGTTTAAACCATGATGTGAACTATACTGTTTTGCGGATGTGAAATGTGGAGGGTTGAGAGCAGTGGGGATATTCAATCCCTGTTTTAACAATTATAACAGTATTCTTGATAACAAATCAAGTACAACTGGCCTGGCTATTAACTTGGGATAGGCACATGCAGATGTTGCTAGGTTAGGTGCCCGCACAGCTCTTAAACCCCGTCTCATTCAGTTTGTGCATGTCCCATGTCGGGGGCTTGTAATACACTGATACAGTTGTGGTCGTTTGTTTGCTGTATATCATATTTGTTTTTCATTTATTGTTTTGTACATAAATCATGCCGTTTGTTTACTTGTTTGAATTGTTTTACATTTATCACTTTGGGGACTTATATAAGTTGCTTTGTAGTATGGATTTTGCTCATTGTTGAAGAACGTACGGTGATATATAGCTTCTACGTCATTTCAAAAATAAAAAGATCTAATATAATTGCCAATGAGAGTAATCTCGTTGGCAATTATATCACATCTTCTCATGTTTATATTCATCGCTTGGAAGTGAAACTAGTGAAACATCACTTGATTTCCTAGCGTAAATGCGTATGTTCATTGATTATTGTTTGTCTAATGTTCAGTGACCTATATTTCATACATATGTACAACGAGCAAAACATTTGCAATTTGTCTAAGTTGTGCAATGAGAATGGCGGGGAATCAGATGCCAAGTTATCCCGGTAGGTTAAACATGCTTATGTTCTGGTACAAATGTATATATATATATATGTGTGCAAGTGTTAACATGTAATAAACATGTTAAAGCATCAATAAACAAGATTTATGAATAAGTTTAAGTTGAATCCATTCATGGATCTGTCATCTCTTTTTAGATATGGCATCTGGCACAACTACAGACGTCAACTGTGGATTATGCTTATACAATGAGATAACAGTGCCTGGTAAGGTGTGGTGTTAATCGTGTAAGGACGGCTTTTGTCAGTTGTTTGCTGACAGTCATAAGGATATTAAAGCTACTAGAAACCACAAAGTTGTTCCTGTTGAAAACTGTCCCCACGTGGCATCCATCGGACATTTAATGTCACAAACCTGTAAAAACCACAACAAAGTTCTCGATCTTATTTTCCTTCCCATGATGCTCCCGTATGCTCTTTATGTATATCAGAGAACAACAGAGAATGCAAAGACATCGTAATATTGGGGAATGTCGCTAAAAATGTTGTTTCGTCTTCTTCGTTTTGTAATCTAGAACGTAAAGTAGAAAATCTTTTCAGGAATTTATCCGATTTAAAGACCGAAAGGGAACTTAATTCTTAGCAGCTCCAAAGTGATAAAATAACGTAAAATACATTAGTTAGGGAAATGGGAAGAAAACTTGATGAACGCTTAGATACTTTAGAGGAGAACCTTTTGCAAGAGATATCATCAAAAGCCGGAACATGTGAAACGGAAATAAATAATTCATTATCCGAAATTGAATCGAAAACTAAAGCTGCACATGCTATACAATACAACATATCTCAGCTGAAAGACATTGTGACAGATGTACAATTATTTCTTGCAATTTTGCAAATAGAGCAATAGATAAGTTAGTAACCACTGTGACCAACTAGCCGCATGAAATCGTGAATCTCAAAAAAAAGGGATGATTGATCTTGGACTTAAAAACTAAACCAATGGAAGACTGGCTTAAAACAAAATCATTAGGATCAGTAAGGATAGACCTCAGCCGAAACCCTGTTTCAATAAACCACCCGAGTATGAAAGAGGCACAGATACCACTTGGAGTAATGCGTTATAGAATACACCAAATCAGTTTACAGCAGAAGATATACATTCCATTTGATTATAGCACGTTATATGACCAATCTTTTGGATGTATGATATGCAGGATTGGAGACATTATTCTTGTAGATGGCAAAAGAAATAAACTTGCCGTTTTCAATGAAAATGGAACTCATATAAACGACATTGTTGAACCTACAAATCCATGTGACATTGCAAAGATATCACAAGATCGGATTGCTATAACATACGGAGATGTACACATATTTGAAATAGTAGATATAAAGGATTATAAGTATAAGATCGTTCAATCAGTTCGTACA